CGTTTAAAGCACATAAAATCATATTAAAATTTATACATTTACAGTAAATGTTAATATAATTATCATAAATCCTAGAGAACAAAACATGAAAACATCTGTGTTTCTGTGTTGATGTCTTATTCAGTGGTCTTTAACTGTGCAATATTGGTGTTTTCCACGGTAGCTCCAATATCTACCATTTGGCGTTGTCAGCGCCACTCGATATTGGTAAATTTAATATAAATTAGTTTATTTTCTACTGTCGCAAGATAATTTATAACTGTAATTTAACCTTACAAAATCGTATAATTTTATAATGTCTTAGAGCAAATCACATTCACAAATAGAGTCCGCGATGTACTGTAAACATCGCCAAATTGTAAATATGTACTGTACACACATGAATTGTAAATTTAGATTAATTTTTTCTGTACTATATTAAAAACTAAAATTTATTTGTTTGTAAGCTTAAAATAGATTCTTATTAACAATATATTATTAAAAATGCATTTATAAATAAAATACAAAACTGGTAATGGTTATTTATGGTTTAGCCTAGTGACAAGTAAATTCTGAGACAAGTAAATTTGACTTACGTCATTTTTCGACTTAAGTCACCTCTCCTGGAACCAATTACTGACATAAAACGAGGTATACCTGTACTTTGACTTTTTTTTTTTTCCACAAATCACCACAAATAGAAGTCTCAGAATTTAGAAAAATGTATAACTTGATGATAACTGTTAAAAACAATTGAAAACATTAATGCATACAAGTATACTGGTAAAACATTAATTATTAATTGAATTTCTGAAAGATATTTGAACTGTTGATCATTTTATTTTAGTTTTAAGCACAGGTTCTCAAACTTATTTCGACTACTGCCCACTTTGAGATTTAAAAAAAAGTCTAGTTTCCCATATTTTTTAACTTACGTAACAGATGGTAATGTAAAAAGGTATCTTAAAAACAGTTATTGCAAATGTAATGTTTAAACGTGCATTATTATATGGATAGGATAGATATGGTGTGACCCATATTTTATTTCTGAGAAAAAAGAATGTTTCATTGAGAAGAAATAAAACTCACATTTAATCACTGAGCCTTCTACTGCCTCCCCTGAAAGCCTCTAGCACCCACAATAAAGCCTCTAGCACCCACAAGGGGTGCTAGAGGCTTTATTGCCTACTTTGAGAAAGGATGGTTTTAAGCATTCAGTTGCAATCTAGTAAGATTGATTCATGGTTATGCCAAGAAATATAGAAAAGTAGCCCAACAGACATGTTAGATAGTCATGTATTTGTCAGTAAACTTTGCATTTGTATCAATTTATTTTATAAATTAAAGATTCACTGAGTACATTCTGCTCTTATAAAACATTTTCATTTTAGATTTTGCAATAAAGGACAGAGATGGATTTCATGTTGATGATGATAAATGTGAATTACCTTCTACCTTGCTGTATCAGTTAACCATATACAACATTATGTATTTGTTGGAAGTTATGAAGCTACTTTAACTCACCTTGTATATTTTTGATGGTCACTTGTCTCAACAAATTAGTGAATGACTTTTGTATGTTTTCAGTAAAATATCTTTTGTGATAAGCTATTGGCATACTACAGAATTCTATGTTATTCCTATATTAAAAAGAATAAATAAAAGAATTATGAATATAGGAGTAACCCTTAGTAAGGCCATATTGAAGATACTGGGTAAACTTCATACTTGATGCCCTTGATTCAACATTAATTACAAAAAGTTCTATGGGCTTTTAATTCTGCAGATTCATTTTGGAACCTCCAAGTGCCCCAGAACAGAACCCTCTGCCCTTAAGTTTCTAACCCTTAGCAATATAGTCTGCTTTCTTATGTCTCTTCCGGTTAGGCAAAACACACAAAAAAGTAGTACTATTTTTCATTCACAACTGTTACCTGAAAACAAACTAAAGAATATCTTATTCACTTACTGGAAGTAATGACAAACACGAAAAAAACCTTTAAAATCCAGTAACACAAATAAAACTTTTAATAAAAAGTAAAAAGTAAACAAATGCTTTCAACTTTAATGAAGGTCTACTTCAGGTTTGTAAATCAACAGAATTCTAAAATTTGGAATGCATAGAACCGAACATTTTGAAAAATATTTTTAAACAATTTGGAACATATGACACAAATATTATAAGTGCATCAATTCAAGATATATGTAAAAACAAGATATATGCACAAGTTATTATAGGAACATTCCAATTTTGGAATTCCATTGGTTTACAAACCTGAAGCTGACCTTGGTTAAGGTCGAAAGCATTTGTTTGATTTGTGTTACTGGATTTTAAAGGTTTTTTTTGTTTGTGTTTACCTGAAAACATTATAATCTGTATATACATTTAGTAAATATCCTTTATTCTTGCTAATCTGAACTTGTATTCAAATTAGCAATGTAATATGTATTGAATCAATATCCAAATGACCAGCCATTTTCAGTTTTGCTAGTAAAGCCAAACTTGGAAAAAGCAGAATGACACATTGTTAAACTTTATAGTGCTTCTGGAACTGAGTTGAGTGCCACCCGTATGCAGGAAAAGAAAACTGCTTCAGGAAAACATGTGCGTCTGGGTTGGACACTTACTATTTTCTTCAGTGCTTGTTTTCTTCCTGTGATAATGAACCACAGCTTTCTGCCACACAAAACTTCAAAAAGTAACTGTTGTATGGTCGGTTGTAGTGTTACCTATATTACTGCGCCGCCAGGTACAAAGTTTTATTCGTTCCAGAATGAACAATACCCTGGCAAAAAAGCATTAAAAACATTATATTATTATGCATTCCACTAAAGTACTTGATTATGTGTTGCTTTATAAATTTATTGTGTTCAAATTGCAAGCAAATTATTTAAGTATGTATATAAAACAACTTCAAAAAACAACTTCAAAAAACCAAAATTATAAAACAACTTCAAAAAACTATTATAAAACAACTTCAAAAAACCAAAATTAAAATGTCAATTTTTTTATAAATATCACTTTTGGACAGTTGTTTTTATGTTCAAGTATGTCTTGTATTTTTAAGGGCTGTATTTTAAAATCTTTCCAATGGTGTACAATAGGTAACCTATTGTACACCGTGGTTTTAAAAAACAGAACCATAGTATTGCACTGAAGAGGGACTTAACATTTATATAAGTTCAAAATGCATATGTGGAAACAATAAAGTGTCTAACCTGAAAGCTGTAATGATAGTCTACCGAACTTAATGTCGGATTAAAGAGACAAGACACACTTGAAATCAATTTTTTTAATTTGATTACATGACACAAATGGAATCGCCTTGTTCATTACTTGTTTCTAATTGTAAATGCACATCATTCATTCTCGTATTGATAACTATGCAAATGTTGAAGAAAAAAGAAATACCTTAATTTCAACATGGTAGGATTTCTTGGAAACAATGGTTTGGGAAACAACTTCTCCAGTGATGATAATTGAACCTTGATTCATGTTTGGATATGTATTCTTGTCCAAGGAAATTGCTATTAGTTTGGAAACATGTCCACATTTAAACAGTTGCGCTCCTTTTTTTTAAATTACTTTTTCTCAAGGTTTCGGTAGAGATTGCACAAAACCGCACTGCCTTCTAAGAAACATTATTTGTTCGTTCCGAAAAGGAGAAGCACATGCCGCCAGGGTTGTTCCAAG